CCATCCCCAGCCCCATCCCCAGCCCCAGCTCCAGCCCCAGTTCCAGCTCCCACCCTCTCCCAGTAGCACAGGCACTCACCATCGCAATATTTTCCTGCGTCACAAATTTCAATTTATTCTCCATTCGACGTAAGGCATGTGACAACTCCTCATTCTTCCTGCTGAGGCGCTTGTTTTTGTCCAAAATGGGCTTATACTGACTTTCTGCTTCTCTGAGACGTTTCAACTGAAAGATGAAGAGAAAAAGAACACCTCTGGAGCTTTTTCATCAAATACATTAACTATGCTCTGTAACTATCACACTAGAAGTATTTTCTCCTGATACAAAGCAGAACTGATCAAAAACTCTTGGGACTTTCCACTGGGAAGAGAGCATTCCTACATGAGAAGATATTCTACCTGAGCAGCAAGTGTTCAGGGTGGGTTCAAAGGTTCAAACTTATTTTTGAAAAGAAATAAACACAATTTGAGCCGATGCCGTTGTTGTACGAGCCAAGAGGGGAGGGAGGCGGCACAGCCCCGAGCACCGAGCTGAGGAGAGGCAGCCCCTCGTCTCCACAGAGCACAGGAGCAAACATCTGGGTGTCTCTGGGCCCCGAGCCCTCGCTCTGCTGCGCTCACCAGCTCGTTCCTCTCCTCCGACAGCAGCGCGTTCCTGTCCTCCAGCTTGCGGATGATCCCGCTCAGCTCCGCGATTTTCAGCTGGAAGCGCCGGGCATCCTTTTCATCCAACTGCTGTTCCTAAAACAAAGATCAACTGCAAATAACTGCTGATAAGTGCACACGCGAGAGCACGCTGGCAAAGCTCAAACGTTTTCTTATCCCAGATCCACACATTTAAAAACGTTACTGAGTAGAGTGTAAGCCACGGAACCCGACTGGCCACGGAAAGCCGCAGGGTGACACCAATGGAAAGTCGGGAGTGGAGATGTAACAAAGAATGCAAATGCAGAGGTGTGTATGTGCATATGTATATGCATATGCATATGCAAATACAGAGTCACAAATGTGCAAATACAAAGTTTACAAACGGTAAACTTGGAAACAACAGAAAAATATCAAAACTGAAGGCCGTGTCCCAATGATGCCACTGTTGAACTGAGAGCTTCAGACACATCGCCCACTCTGAGCACTTGGTCGTAGGACACTGATAGTGAAATTATTGAATTACTGAATGGGGAAAATCCATGCAATTGTGCATTGAATAAGCTCTTCTTCCAGAAAACTGTGGCCCTTACGGGGTCCTAAAGGGCCACTCGTAAGGCCACAGGGGTAGCACTTTATCTGAGTGAAAATGCTTAAATCAAATTAACAATGAGTGGAGATACAGGTAGATGTGTTCTCATTCAGAATCAGAGAGGAGTTACAGCTCCTGACAAACGTGACAGACTTTCCCCCTTCTCTACAGCTCGTTCTGGTCTTTGGCAGAAGTTGAGTACAACCAGAGAGAGGCAAATTAGTGCCCACAGTGCTGGTGGCACTTTTGGGAGGTCTAGGGTTCCTCATTCAACAGGTGCAGGAGAGGCTTGGGCCAAAGAATAAAATAGATTGCTTTGCTCAGGTATAAGTTTTACACTTGCACTGAGACAATCAGGGCTGTCGCAAAAGAAATCTTGATGAGGATCAGCGATGAGGATGACCTGCACACGTCAGAGGCACGAGGGCAGTTACCCGAGGGCACTTCTGGGCAAAGGGAGGCCCAAGCAGGGAGGTGCCAGCGTTACACTCAAAAGGTTTTGGGGAGGGGTTTCTCCAATCCAATGTTCTGGTTATTACAGAGAATAATCAGGAGATAATAGGTTAGGAGGTCTTGGGTTCACTTTGTGTCCTGCTGATGGCCAGAGCGCTGAGCAGCAGGAAAGGGGTGCCCTGGGGGCTGCAGGCTCTCTGTGCTGCCCTGCCCCTTCCCCCTGGAACTGGCCTCGTACATCTGCTCCCCCAGCCCCAGCTCGCGCCTCCAGAGCTCGCACACAAACAGCACCTGGTGAGAAATGCATTTGCATCGTTTGTTGGCAGAATCGTGTCAAACTGTCAGACTAAGGCGGGTGGCTGAGCATGGTACAGTGAGGAAAAGGAGAAAAGAACAGAGGAATTTCACCCTGCTGACAGAACCAAACCAAACCGACCGGGAAACAAAACGACAGAAAGCAAAAGCTCTCCCATGGCGAGGTTTGATTGGAAATCTCCAGGGTTTGGGCACGGCAAAAACGAGAGCAGGTGCCTCGGGCCCCCTGTGCAGCCATGGGACAGCTCTGGCTCGGGGGGAGCTCATCAAGATTCCGTCCCTCGTTCAGGTGAAACCACGTGGAAGTGCTTACGGGGCTTCCCGAATGATCTGAAGCGTCTCCTGCACCACTTGCATAAGGAAGTTCCCGCTTGGGGCTGCTCAGATGCCGGTCAGACTCTTTGAGCTGGGACAGTTGTTCATCTAAAGCCTCCTTTTGGAGCTGCAGTCTCTGAGCATGCCCGGCTCGCACCCCTAACTCTCTCTCCAGCACGAAGACTGCTCTGTCCTTAAACTTAATCTCCTCCATCTACAAGGAGAACAGAACACAATCACACAGTGGCTCGGCAGCACCCCGAGCACCCCGCGGTGACACGGCATCGCTGTCCTGCCAGCACAGCAGGACAGGGACACCGGGCACACTGCCCCGGGGCCACACCGCAGCAACCCCTCCTGCAGCAGGCAGCTTGGCACTGAAATACTGGGGAATAGCCTGTGATCCTATCACCATTTCAGAACAGCTGAAAGAGAATTAAAGCTTGACATTGGCATCACACTTTGATAGCTTCACTCAAACACTTTAATGATTCTGCAGCGTTTTGCTTGGACGTCGCCTCTGGAAAATTTGGATTAATAATTTAAAAAAAATATATTGAAACCTCAGTATCCTTTAAATTTTCAAAATTCCTAGAAGAAATGTGAGTTTTTAATTTTTTTTTTCCCAAAAGTCTCCCTTGTGAGCAATTCCCTTTCCATAAGAGGTTTTATTTGCACATAATAAAGATTATGCAAAATCACGAAGTGCTTAAATGACAAATGCCCAGTGACCTCTAATGCTCTGTCCCTGTCTGCCTGTGCCAGGGGCCTGTGCACATCCCTTGGGATGGGCCAGGATCCCACCCCTGGGCTGTGGCTGGAGCTCCCTGGGACTCACAGCCCTGGTGCCAGCCCAGCTGGGGCTGTCCCGGCTCAGAACTGATCCTGCAGGGATCACGGTGGGATCATGGACACGGATCCACAATCCACAGAAACCACATCCATCCCCCAGGGCTCTGCCAGCTGCTTTCCACAAACACCTCTGCCATCGCTCCTTGGGAATTCACACATCTAAATTCAATGGTCAGGTTTTAAGCCTGGCCTGCTTCAAATAAGAACATTTTGCTTTGTAAGAGCTGTGTTAATACTTTTGTCTCTGCTTTGTCTGTAAACCTGGAAAAAAATGGCATTGGGAATCAACAGTCACTCCAAGGACTTTGTTTGCAGTAAATGTCGATGTGGCCCACCCAGGACAGGTGCTGGCAGGTCACACAGGTATCAGGAAAGCAAAATGGAGCAGATGAAAAGGATTTTGGGTGCCATTGACTAAAGATCCTTCCAAAAATGTCCATGAAGGCAGCGTCTGCTGGCTTTGAATGAAACAAAGACATAGGTGCTCTCGAGCACCTGAGGTCTTTCTGCTGAATGCCTAATGAGGAGGAATCTAAATGGATGTACAGATGAAAAGATAACACATCATCAAATGATTATTTGTTTAAAATAAGCAGAATATTGGGTTGATTCTTATTTTTATAGAAACAAAGACACATTACAACAAAGGCAACACATGAAATTGGGAGGAACAAAGAGATGAGAAAACACGAAACATTTCACAGCATTTCACTGACGGTTTGTTTTCCAGAAAAAGGAAAAAATCCCTAAACAAAACCTTCATAAACCACAAGCAAACATCAGCACTGACATCTCCCTTCACCTGACTAAATTCCCGTACACGACACACGCTCAGGCTTGGTGCCCGCAGCCCCCTGTTAGACAGAGACAGCGTGGAAAGAGCAGAGATGGAAGGGAAAGATGTCCCTCAGCCCCCAGATGAAGGGAGGGAAGGAAGGGAAGGGCTGATGGGCCCCAGGACTCACTGGCAGCGGTGCGGGTCCGTGGGCACACAGCCCCCAGGCAGGGCCAGCCTGGGCTCATACTGGGCTGTGCTGGGCAGTGCTGGGCTGTTCTGTTCTGTTCTGTTCTGTTCTGTGCTGTTCTGTGCTGTTCTGTTCTGTTCTGTTCTGTTCTGTGCTGTTCTGTGCTGTTCTGTGCTGTTCTGTTCTGTTCTGTGCTGTTCTGTTCTGTGCTGTTCTGTTCTGTTCTGTTCAGTTCTGTTCTGTTCTGTGCTGTTCTGTTCTGTTCTGTTCTGTTCTGTGCTCTTCTGTTCTGTTCTGTGCTGTTCTGTTCTGTTCTGTTCAGTTCTGTTCTGTTCTGTTCAGTTCTGTTCTGTTCTGTTCTGTTCTGTTCTGTTCTGTTCTGTTCTGTTCTGTTCTGTGCTGTTCTGTTCTGTGCTGTTCTGTTCTGTTCTGTTCAGTTCTGTTCTGTTCTGTGCTGTTCTGTTCTGTTCTGTTCTGTTCTGTGCTCTTCTGTTCTGTTCTGTGCTGTTCTGTTCTGTTCTGTTCAGTTCTATTCTGTTCAGTTCAGTTCTGTTCTGTTCAGTTCTATTCTGTTCTGTTCTGTTCAGTTCTGTTCTGTTCTGTGCTGTTCTGTTCTGTGCTGTTCTGTGCTGTTCTGTTCTGTGCTGTTCTGTGCTGTTCTGTGCTGTTCTGTTCTGTTCTGTTCTGTGCTGTTCAGTTCTGTTCAGTTCAGTTCTGTTCTGTTCTGTGCTGTTCTGTTCTGTTCTGTTCTGTGCTCTTCTGTTCTGTTCTGTTCTGTGCTGTTCTGTTCAGTTCTGTTCTGTTCAGTTCTGTGCTGTTCAGTTCAGTTCTATTCTGTTCAGTTCTATTCTGTTCTGGTCCTGGAGCAGGGCTCTGGCTCCTCTCCCTGCTCCCACCCTGCCTGCTGGCTCCGGAGCTCGGGAAGAGGCGGCAGTGCAGGAGCATCCAACCACCTGCCAGCCTCCCACTGCCACTCCTGGATGAATATTTATGTGTCTGCTCATCCTCCAGCAGCCCCACAGGAGCAGAGCTGGTGCCAGTCAGGGAGCTGGGCATGGGGAGATGTGCTTGCTGCTCCTCCCGAGCCCCACACGCGGGAGCCCTGGGCCATGACACTCTCCAGGTTATTATTTCCATCCTCATTCAAACCCTGGCTGTAGGGCCTGGCCCCCACGCTCCTGGGGCCCTTGCAAGGTGACAGATGCTGTCAAAAGTGTCGTTTGAAGCTGCTGGGATGAAAGGCATCCCTGCAGGCAGGGGGCACAGAGGAGAACCCTGTCCCCGTCCAGCGGAGCTGCTCCACGGCACGCACATCCAGCCAGGGATGGTGGCAGTCAGGACATGACCCCACAGTGCCCCACAGCTTCCCCTGAGACCCCTGAGACCCCACAGTGCCCCACAGCTTCCCCTGAGACCCCTGAGACCCCACAGTGCCCACAGCTTCCCCTGAGACCCCACAGTGCCCCACAGCTCCCCCTGAGACCCCACAGTGCCCCACAGCCCCCCCTGAGACCCCTGAGACCCCAGCCCAACCCTGGGTGTGCTGTAGCCTCACAACAAGTGTGCTTGCAGCCCAGAAAATAACAACTCCTGGGGTAGGTCCACAGAGAAAAATGGTGTTAAAACCTGGCCTGTGAGGCATGAAAGGAATCCCTCAGAATGAGAAGTTTCCTGACCCTCCTGAGCATAGGAGTAACGCTGTCTGGCTTTCACATACAACAAAATCCTTCAGCCCAGGTTTAGTTGGGAAAAAACTTGTAAATGAGGGTCAAACCACAAAAGAGTAAAAAATCCACAGGTGGGAGAAGGAATGATTCACCTTGAACCTTTCAGGTGCTGAGACACCTTTGTAATCCCAGATATGGGGGTTTCTCAACACATGAGGGAATCAAAAGCAGAAGGCAAAGACTAAATCAATCACCAATAAAATGAATATTTACAAATTCAGCTTCCTGCCCTTTCATGTGATCCCACCCTTTACATCAGACACCTTCACTAATTTAGCAGGGTCTGGCAGAGAGCTCAGGGTCTCTGAGAACACAGAGGTTCAGAACAGGGCTCACAGCCTTGATCCCCTCTTGGGCTGAGGGGTGGCATTGGCACGAGGAAGCCGTGAAGCTCTCCATGGCCAGTGGGCTCACACAGGGATTGGTGCAGGTTATTAAAGCTTTGCTACTCATCATCATCATCTAAAGTTTATCCAGACTGAAAATAACCACGCCCCAGGCTCTAGCAAATCCCATTTCCTCAGTTTTTCTGATTTCTCAGTCTCCTGATAAAGGAGATGGGAGTGAGGAGGCTGCAGTGGCCATGGCTGTGCAGAACTTCTCCTTCCTGACCAACCTAGAGTTTATTAATGTTTAAATGCTCTTTACCACACTGAACTTGGGTCCCCACTTAGCAAGGCTGAAGGCCAGTTAAGCCTGGGGAGCAGTGGAGGCTGAAAGCTGTTTCCCCTGGCTGTGCACACACCAGGCAGGGAGCACTCCTGCCCGTACAAGTGTAATTAAACACAGCCCTGCAGTGTTTTGGGGCTGCTTAAAATGCGCAAATTGAAACTTAAACACTTGGCTGAAACGAGACATTCTCCCCAAAGGAGGCCACAGGAACCTGTTCCATCTGCAGGGGGACTGCAGCTCCTGCAGGGAGCAGCTGAGGCTGGGCACAGCTGAGCACACACAGAGTGCCTGGGCACACTGAAAACACCTCCCTGTGCTCCCCCTGCTCCCTGGGAACGGGGTGAAGCCTTTGCCATCCATCCCAGCCCTGGAAGTGACTGCAGGGCAGAGCTGGGGCTTTATCTGTGAATACTCAGAGCCTCCAGTGCCAGCCCTGCCCCATCCCCACCGTGTCCCCAGCCCAGAGCCCTGAGTGCCACCTCCAGCAATTCCTGGGACACCTCCAGGGATGGGCACTGCAACCCTCCCTGGGCACTGCCAAGGCCTGAGCTCCCTTTCCATGGGGAAATTCCTGCTGCTGTCCCCCCTGAGCTGCCCTGGCCCAGCCTGAGCCCGTTCCCTCTGGTCCTGGCACAGACTGCCAATGCAAGCACAAGAAATGCCCAGAGCTGTGCCAGTGAATCCCCAATTCCCTGTTACCAGGGCACTGCACAGCCTTTCACCCCCAGACTCCCCACAAGGTGCCAGGAGCCAGCAGCTCCCTCCAGAGCAGCTGAGGGTGGGGTCCGTGGAGCTGAGAGCACCCAGGAAGCTCTCAGGGCCTGGTAAAATCACAGCACCAGGTCATTTCATTGGTGCAGTGAGCCAATCTGATTCTTTCAAGCAGGAACTTTAAAAAGGTTTGATTTTCAAAGGTAGTTTAGACAACATCCCGTTGAACCACTCTATTTCCTATATTAAATATATCCCATATTTATTTTACAGCTTCTACATTAAAGGCCATTAGTGAGGACTTTCCATGTGATGCAGCAAGTTTATTTAGGATGCCCATTAGCCCCCCATTCAGCGTGATGTATGAAATCAATGCACCAGTGATGTGTGGTTAGAGAAGGTACTTACACTGCAGGATATTTGAACAGCATCAATAGAGCATTTGGTTATAAATGATTTTTAATATCCTCTTCATAAAAATAACTTATGAAAAAAACAGTAACAGCCTGAAGTCTGAGAGAAGAGGAGGCTAAATAAAGGTAGGGGACACTCCCCTGCTGGTGTGTCAGTCCCTGCCAGGCCCTTTGGGGCTCAGGGCAGGAGGTTCTGCAGGTGCTCTCTGCAGCGTGGTCACGCTGCCAGCCCTTGATTTGGGGCCCAGCTGCATTCTGAATTTGTTTCAGAATTTGGATAACAGCTAAGAGCTAATGACTTAGAAGAGACCTGGATGGGTTTGCAGCAGGACACTGAGTGCTGTAAAGCAGCGTGGCAAACACAAAACGATGGTGACACCACAAAAATACTGAGACAAGACCCAAACACTCATCCCAGGAGCACGGGGGTGTCCCCACGTCCCTGGGAAGGGCAGCAGCACTCAGGGACACACTGCCTGCACTCAGGAGTCACAAGGCAGGGTCTGCAGCAGACAGTGAACCCCCTGAGCCCCAGAAGGTGCTGGTGGCCTGCCAGGCTCTGCTGCAAAGGCTTCCCTGTGAGGGAGCTCCCTCCCACAGGGATTTCCCTCCTTTTCCAAGCACCACCATCCCCAGCCAGCTCCCACGCACGCCAGAGGGAAGCTCCAAAGCCACAGGTGTGAAGCTCTTGCCGTGGAGACTGGAGCTGCTGCAGCTGAGGATCAAATCAGGATTAGGTGAGGACAGGCTGAGCAGGACACAGAGGGTCCCTGAGTGCCAGGTGAGATCCCAGGGACCTGCTCAGGTGGGAGCCCCCAGAGCAGCAGAAACAACCCCTGGCCTGGGAAAACCACCAGGGTGGGTGTGGAGAGGAACTCCCCTGAATGCCCTGCTGCGTGTGTAGCACTTGGGGTGCAGAAAATGAGCATTTGGGATTGTGTCAGCCTCACTATGGGATGTTTGTGGGAACTGGCAAAGGCAGGGAAAGGGAGGACCAAGGTGGATCAGGAAGGAACACGTGGTGAGGAAACAGGCATAACCCAAGAAACACAACTGCTGTAGCATTCCCCTGACCAGCCAGGAACCTGAGGGCTCTTCCTGATACCTTTAATGTGAACAACATCAGCAGGCTCTGACATGGATAAGGAAGTTTCTTACAAAACATCCTAATACTTCTAAAAACTACTCTGCCCTTTCTGCTAGTAAATGTAAAACAGACCTGGAGCAAGCCCTGAAGTTTCAACACCTGCCCAGTGATTCCAGCACTGATCATTTCCCCTCAACAGCACAAGCAGAGGAGCAGAGAGCAGCACGTACCAGCCTGCGGATTTCCCTCTCGCACTCCCTCTTGATCCTGGTGATCTCCTCCTGGTGCAGGTGATACACGCTCCTGATCTCTGCTGCTTTGATTTTGTCAGCTTGGATGACCATTGTGAGAGCCTCCTCCACCTGTTTCTTAGCCCCTTTTAGCTCAGAAATTTCTTGCTGCATTTTGATTTTCTCCACCTCGAAGCCCTTCTTGGCCTCCTCCTTGGCCTCGGTGAGCAGCACCGTTTTCACCTTGTCCGGGGCCCCGTCCCGCACGGCGTTGAGCAGGGTCTGCAGCCTCTGGATTTCATTATCTTTAATTTTTATTACTCTGAGTAGCTCAGCTTCGTGCTGTCTCAGAAGTGTTTCTCGGACAGCTTGGAGCTCTTTCATTTTGTCTTCATGAAGTTTGACTTTGAGCTCTGTGACCACCACTGTGCTTTTATGCTGCTCGTGCTCCTTGATCTGCTTCACTTCCTGATTTTTCTCCCTTTCCAACTTGCTGACCTGTAATGAAAATCAAAAAAGTATAGAATTTTCAATCAGCCAAACAATGACTGCATATCATGATATTATTTAGAAGTGGTACAGATGACTTTACAGCATCACACCTCAATGTTGGTATGTCTGTGTCTACAAACTGGTGGTAGCAAAGACCTTTCTTTCACTGCAGGCTCATGTTTAATACACATTTAGGAATCAGTCAGTGCCTTCTGAGTAAGTCTGAGTCCTTACTCTATTCTGCAGAAGCTCCCCCAGCACATTCCCCCCAAAGTAAGGGGAAAATCAGATGCCAAGGCCATCACTGGCACGCTCAGGCACTCAGACCAAACCTGCACGTGCACAGGCAAGACACAAAAAGCTCAGTGCAAGCTCCTGTGAAGCCCCAAACAGCTGCATTTAACCTGATGCTTTTTAAGTGATGAATTATTCAGCAGAAATAACTGTCTGTACCTGACCACATGAGGCTCAAGTGATGTTTCAATTTAAAACCATGCCATAAACTCCAGAGGAGCCATGGCCAGAAGTGGCTGTGAAGGACGGGAAGAAGGAAAACAAAGTCCTTAAAGCTGCAAATGTTGCTTCACAGCAAAAGGATTAACAGATGTTCTGTTTCTATGCACGTGTGTGTCGGAGTCAAGCTGTAAAATGCCTGATAATGATGTAAATTCATGGAAAAATGCAGACTATCACTTTGCCTCCGCATGGTAACACGTTCCTGTTCTGGAACGGAAAACCCCCAAAGTTTATCAGTGGAAACTGATTTGGGGAATTAGGGAAAAGCAAATGAATATTCCATGCTCTTGCTGAGAAGTGATCTGAGGGCAAGAGCTGGAAACTGTGAGAGCTGAGGCTCCAGCCCTATCCAGCTGTCCCTCTCCCAAAGGCTCAGGGGGAACCTTGTCTGTGGAATCTGGGAATTAGTGCAGGAGACAGAGCTGAGGTTTCATACTGTACGTGTGTAAGCAGCCAGTTTGGAGGAGTCTGAGTGCAAAATCCAAATGAAATTGGGGTAAAAGGGAAGGAGAAGAACCAGCAAAGAGAATGCTGGCACTTCTGACCGTTCTGGACACCGCGTCGCACTCCAAGGAAGGGAAGCTGCCCACCTTGCTCTTCTCCTGCTGGAGCTCGATCTGGATGTCGGTGAGCTTGGCCCTGAGCTCCTCGTTGGCAGCCTGCAGGGCGGCCAGGGCGTCGGGCTTGTCCCCCCTGGCGCGGCTGCTGGAGCCCCTCTTGGCCATGGTGACGATGGCCCCGGCCCCGCCGGCCCCGCTCACATCTTCTGGGGCCTGCGAGGAGGGACAGCGCTGTCACAGCCGGGCAGTGGGACACAACACAACACCCCCGTGGCTCAGGGGCTGCATTCCCTGGGCTAAGTGTGCAATCACAGCTTTGTTCGGGTGGAAAAACCCTCTGAGACCACAAAGTCCAACGTTCCCCGCTGCCAGTGCCCCCCGTCCCCAGGGGCCGCATCCACGCGGCTTTTAAATCCCTCCAGGTCTGGGGACATCACATCTGCTCTGGGCCACTGTGCCAGGGCTGGACAGACCTTCCCATGGAGAGCAGCCCAGTATCCAACCTGAAACTCCCCTGATGCAGCTGTTTATCCCATCCCTTGTTCCCTGGGAGCAGGGCCTGATCCTCCTGGCTGCACCCTCCTGTTCCTTCATCTGCACTGGAATCCACAGAGGATGTGGGATCCACACAGGACAGAGGGGGTG